CATCAGGGGACTGCTAGGCAACAGCTCCAACATAAATGATTTGCTCCGCAAGTTCAGTGAAGCCACTGCCACAATAAAAATCCAATGGATTCCAAGCCATGTTGGAATCGAAGGAAATGAGGCAGCAGACCAAGCTGCCTATGAAGCCAGAGAGATTCAAGAAGACAGACGACCAACGACATGCAGAGGAGTCTTTCCAATCATCAAGAGGGAAATCAGAGGCCCACCATGCAGAGCTAAGTAGCATCACCTGGAAGATGTGTTCTCTGAGTACTCCAACTCTTATAAGCAGGAACAAAGTATCACAGGTCGCTGGGACCAGGTTGAGCTAGCAAAACTGCGGTCGGACTATCATTGGAGCTTGAGATGGTATAAGAGCTTTGTAAATGAAGAGCCCAGCCCATGGTGCCGAAGATGCGACCATGAAAACATATGGTTTGAATGTCCAGGAACAATGGCAATTCGAATGGAGTTATTTCGACGAGTGGAGGTGCCTCTAAGTATTTTGGCAATGGAGCCGAAAAAGAGCCTCGCTTTCACACGAAGATTTCTTAGTGGAGTCCACCAAGCCCATTAAGGAAACAAACAAAAGTCATCATCATTTTGTCAATGCTTTAAAGTAGTTAATTGATCATACATCATGGTTTTTCAGAAATTCTGTTGAACTTTCCTCACGCGACTTTGGGTGAAGATGGTAAATTGGGCACCTTGGAACACATCCAAATCAAATGCTTTTCAGAGGTTTCTGGAGATATTTTGATTTTCACTCTTCTCTTTAGTACCCCCCCCCCCTCCCCAAAGAATTGCATTAGAAAAGGGGAAAAGCGTCAATGCCATCGGCACGTTATAGCGTTGCTATTGAACGCGATTTACGTTTAGTTCCACAACTCTCTAAACCAGAGAGTTCAAGCCTTCAACACGCCATTTCTTTTCTTCTATTCTTTTTTAAAGACGTAATTAAATGACATCTGATATACGGTTGTTGGTAAAGTTGTAACATTTTCGGCAAGGGAGGACGGTGAGGGTGAACTTGCACTACTGGCGGAGCGAACAGAATGTCCGCCGTCGATGCGCGGCCGGACGAGTCTGTATCCGATGAGTCGGCGATGTCAGCATCTCTGAAATCGGATTTCAGTTCACAGGTAGAAATCTAGAGTCTAGAATCTATATCTAGATCTAGATCTAGATCTAGATCTATAATCTAGATATCTAGATCTAGATTTAGATATCTAGATTGTAGATTTAGATCTAAAGTTAGATCTAGATCCAGTCTAGATCTACATGTAGATCTATGTTATTAGCACTATTACGAGATCTGAGAATGCCTTATTGAACATTTCTTCTTCTTCTTCTTCTTCTTCTTCTTCTTCTTCTTCTTCTTCTTCTTCTTCTTCTTCTTCTTCTTCTTCTTCTTCTTCTTCTTCTTCTTCTTCTTCTTCTTCTTCTTCATCCCTTTCTCTTTCTCCTCCTCCTCCTTCTTCTTCTTCTTCTTCTTCTTCTTCTTCTTCTTCTTCTTCTTCTTCTTCTTCTTCTTCTTCTTCTTCTTCTTCTTCTTCTTCTTCTTCTTCTTCTTCTTCTTCTTCTTCTTCTTCTTCTTCTTCTTCTTCTTCTTCTTCTTCTTCTTCTTCTTCTTCTTCTTCTTCTTCTGCTTTGTAGCGGTCGTTTTAGCAGTAGTAGCAGTGACAGTGGTAGTGGTAATGGTAATCGTAGCAGTAGTAGTAGTAGTAATAGTAGTAGTAGTAGTAGTAGTAGTAGTAGTAGTAGTAGTAGTAGTAGTAGTAGTAGTAGTAGTAGTAGAAGTAGTAGTAGTAGTAGTATTAGTAGTAGTAGCAGTAGTAGTAGTGTGTGTCTTTGTGTTTTATTATTTTTTCCTATTGTGTGTCATCTCCTGTGGGTTTACATTCACAGATAGAAACATACTCATGTGCAAATTGTATGTTGCCTGTGGGCGAAAAATTTTAAACCACAAATCGTGCATGATCTGTGGGCGGGCAGCCCTGCAAGCTGATACAAACAAATTCTGTCGCAATTTTTCCCACATGAAACGTGAGTTGTCTATTACTGGACACCCTCACGTTTTGAAAGCGGAAACGGCAGTTTATGTTTCGTGTAATGCGTATATAATAGGGCGTACACGAAGGAAAGTGTAGTGATTTTCCAGAATGATTATCACCGTCAACATCATCACCATCGTCGTCATCATCACCATCATCATCATCAGAGATGTGCATCTGGGTACTCCTATAAGCGGGAACAAAATATCACATGTCGCTGGGACCAGGTTCAGCTAGCGAGACCGCAGCCGGACCATCGTTGGAGCTTAAGATGGTATAAGAACTTAGTAAATGAAGAGATCAGCCCACGTTGCCGAAGATGCGGCCATGAAAAGGAGGATGCCAAACATATGTTTGAATGTCCAGGAACAATGGCAATTCGAATGGAGTTATTTGGACGAGTTGAGGTGCCGCTAAGCATATTGACTATGGAGCCGAAAAAGAGC